GTGTCGACTGTTGTTTTCTGTAGTAAAAAGCATGAGGAACACGCTCAAACAAAAAAAAGGCAACTTTTTTCGTGGGAAATGCCTTAAAATGGCGATTACTTGTTAGTACGCACGGGCCGGCCCCGCCTGCCTGCGGGACGGGCCAGGCTGTCGGCCGTGGTGGCCGCGGTCTGCGTAAGACACGCTCATTTTGTCAAAGGAGCGCCAAAATTTGCACAGGAGTTCTTAGAGATGTGAGAAACAAATTTTGCCCGAAGCCTTTTGGAAAATTTTGAACCGTTCAAACTGTACTGTTCAATTCGTACAACCTGTACATTTTGTAGTGAGTTAAACCGCCGTAAACATGTTTTTTTATCTGTACACTTCTGACACCTCAACCCCAGGTGACCTTGCACAGACAGTGGCGTAGCGTGGACAACCCTGTTCCGAACGCTGGATGGAACACTAAGCTGAACAACATGTAGTATTTTCAAAGACACATGTCAGACACGTCTTTTCCGTATGAAACGAACCTGCTGATGACAAATCTGAAGTCAGAAATGAGGTTTCTCTACATTAAGTTGTATTTTTTTTATAGTGTTCCATCACGTACAATGTACAAACGTGTTCAAAAAAGTGTTCAAGGGTGTTCAAATTACCTAGATAACATTTGCTTTGTGTCTAGCATCACCGAATGGAGTTGCAAAGTTGCTGCGCGCCACGCATTGGCTTAATAAGGGTCAGAGCCACCGCTATTTATCCCATTATGTCCAGGTTGTACGAATTGAACAGTACAGTTTGAACGGTTCAAAATTTTACAAAAGGCTTCGGGCAAAATTTGTTTCTTACATCTTTAAGAACTCCTGTGCAAATTTTGGCGCTCCTTTGACAAGATGAGCGTGTCTTACGCAGACCGCGGCCACCACGGCCGACAGCCTGGCCCGTCCCGCAGGCAGGCGGGGCCGGCCCGCGCACACTAACAAGTAATCGCCATTTTAAGGCATTTCCCACGAAAAAAGTTGCCTTTTTTTTGTT